CGCTCTGATACCACTTGTTGTATTGAGGAAGAGGCAAACCCGAAAATAAAGAAGATAAAGAACACCAAATATTAACGTGAAAACCCTTCAAATCGAAGGTAAAAACCACGGGATCACAAAGATCCAAAAAGCTCCACTATAACAATAAGAGGGTTATAAAAGTTCTCCAAATTGGCTACACAACAAGCTCCCCACACGGAGCAACAATAGCAACAAGAGCAACAACTAATCAATTGAAGAAAGAGTATAATCCACAAAAACGAAGCTACTATTTGAGGCTCAAAATCAGATGCTACAAGCCTCCAAATCCGATCTCCACCGTTCAAATCCAAGACCAAGATGTTACAAATACTAAGTCAAAATTTTAGCCCAATCCAACGGTTAAGGAATTAGAAAACGTGATTTTGAAGTTGGCTGATCGGAATAAAAATCTGCAGCAAAACAAATACTTTTCTTCTCTCTTCTCTCTTGATGAAAGCTCTCTCTAAATCACTATTATGTGCTTAAGTATTTCAAAGACTTGTATCAATGAGCATAGAATAATTCTCCAAGGTTGTCCTATTTATAGATCATGAGCGGTGCTTTCTCTTAAAGCCAAAACCCACTCAAAATAGGAATAAACACCGAATCCAATTCCGAATAGGAATGAAAATCAAAAGAGAATAGGATTAGGCTATTGGGCTTTTGGCTGGACAACATGGGCATGAGCCCAACAAACTCCCCCTCCAGCCAAGGGGCCAAATGTGTCTTCAAGTAGAGGAACTATTGACAGGCTTCATGCCTGCCAATTTTCTGCAAAATTCATGTTTATCTGCAGCCACCGCTTTTGTAAGCATATCCAAAGGATTTTCATCATTGTGTATCTTCTCAACCTCAAATAATTTCTCTTCCACGGCCATTCTTATCCAATGATACTTTTTATTTATATGTTTGGTCTTAGAATGAAAAGTGGAGTGCTTGGTGAGACAGATAGCACTCTGATTATCACAAAATAAGATGTACCTTGGCTGCTCAAAGCCAAGACCATTAATAAACTCCTTAATCCATAATAGTTCTTTGGCACCTTCTGTGACAGCAATATATTTGGCTTCTATGGTGGATAGAGCTATGCACTTCTGTAGTCTAGATTGCCAAGAAACAGCTCCCCTTGCAAAAGTGATCAAATAACCGGAAGTCGATCTTGAATTATCAAGATTGCCTCCTAAATCAGAGTCTGTGTAACAAACAAGTTCAGGCTTTCCATTGCCAAAGCACAGCTTCAAATCTGCAGTACCTTTCAAATACCTTAATATCCATTTTACTGCATCCCAATATTCTTTTCCAGGATTGGAAAGAAATCTACTAATAGTACCAACGGCATGTGCAATATCTGGTCTAGTGAAAACCATAGCATACATCAAGCTACCAACGACAGAAGAGTAAGGAATACGAGACATCTCCTTTTTCTCTTCATCAGTAGATGGACTCTGACTAATACTCAATTTGAAGTGTTTAGCAAGAGGTGTACTAACCACTTTTGCATCTGTCATATTGAACCTCTTGAGTACCTTCTCAATGTATTGTTTTTGGGACAGAAATAACTCATTTCTGTCTCTAGGTCAGTGGATTTGAATGCCCAAGATTTTCTTTGCTGGCCCCAAGTCCTTCTTCGCAAACGATTTGCTCAACTGCTTCTTAAGGACTGCGATTCTGGATTTATTCTTGCCAACAATAAGCATGTCATCCACATAAAGCAATAAAATAATAAAACCATCATCAGAGAACTTCTGGAAGAATACACAGTGGTCTGAAGAAGTTTTCTTGTACCCTTGTTCTTCTATGACAGATTCAAACTTCAAATACCATTGCCTTGGAGCTTGTTTCAATCCATACAGGCTCTTTTTCAATTTGCAGACATAATTTTCTTTTCCCTTAGTTACAAAACCCTCAAGTTGCTTCATATAAATCTCCTCATCCAAATCACCATGAAGAAAAGCAGTCTTCGCATCCATCTGCTCAACCTCTAAATCTAGACTTGCGGCTAAGCCTAGAACCACACGAATAGAAGACATCTTCACAACAGGGGAGAAAATTTCATCAAAGTCAACTCCCTTCTTCTGGCCAAAACCTTTAACAACTAACCTCGCCTTGTATCTAGGCGCAGAGGTATGGTTATCTTGCTTTATTCTGAATATCCATTTGTTAGATAAAGCTCTCTTACCTTTCGCCAATTTCACTAACTCATATGTGCCATTCTCATGGAGTGACTTCATCTCATCTTCCATCTCTTCGATCCAATGATCTTTGTGATTATCTTGCATGGCTTTATCATAATTCTCAGGTTCTCCCATGTCAGTCAAAAGTACATACTCATCAGGAGGATAGCGCATGGATTTTTGCTTCTCCCTTGTAGATTTTCTAAGAGAGGTTTTAGGAGCATTCGAAGTAGTTACCTGTGCAGGAATTGGTTGCTGATCAACCACAACTTCATCAACTGGAGCATCCATAACATCTATACCATGATGATCATTTTGATCTTGATCACTATCTCCATCATTGTCTTGGGTTCCTTCATGTACAATAGGTGCCTTAGCAAACTGGATCAATATCAACTAAGCTCTCATTACTCTGAGAATCTATCTTCTCAGCTTTCTCAATATCTTCAATAGTTTGGTCTTCAAAGAATATTGCATCACGACTTCTAATAAGTTTATTGTCAACTGGATCATACAAACGATACCCAAACTCATCTTGACCATAACCGATAAAGATGCACTGCTTAGTTTTGACATCCAGTTCGATCTCTCATTTTAGGAATATGCACACAAGCTTTACACCAAAAATTCTCAAGTGATCATAAGAAAATTATGACAAACACCTAACAATTCTCCCCCTTGGCCTGAATTTTCTGACAAAATAAACTTGATCCACCTTCTTCACATAGCCTTCAACAGGTCGCATCTCCAAATCTCCACCACAAAGTTTGTCTCAACGTGCGTAGCACTCCGGTCAAGTTTCTCAGACAAAAAAACCACGATTATCGTCAAATATGTTGCAGCTAGAACTGAACACGCCAAGATGAACCTGTCTTGATCCTCGCTCTGATACCACTTGTTAGGACCGAAAAAACAGGTGTCATGCTGAAGCTAGCAAAGCAAACCTTGAACGACGATAAATCACACAACAAAGAGAAATCTACCAAAAGAGACACAAACATTTAACGTGGTTCGGTCAACTGACCTACGTCCATGAGCAATCCACTATATAAAAAGAGAGTACAAAATATCGAGAGAACAACCTCACGAAGAGGCAAACACAAGTGACACTCTAACACTTGTCCCGCAAAGTTCTCCTCCTGAACATAACTCTCAAAGACCATATGGCTACATTGTGAATGCTACTGAATGAGAAGGATGGATCTTCAATTTATAGAACTCCAAACCTTTTCCTACACGAAAAAGGACTAGCCAAATATGGGAGATTTGTAATTTTCTTCTACAAGAAGGAAAACCCAATTAAGGTAAATATGTTGCCCTTTCCTTCAACAGATAGGAAAACCAAATATGTTAAGAAAATCTGGACAAGCACCTAACAAATTTACCTTGCTTTGTTTTTTCTGCACTATTTTGCAGTTGGTTTATCTGCTAAGCTGAATCGTGGGAAGCATCACAGGAGGCAAAGAAGAGAGTTAACTACTGATTTTTAAATAATATTCAATTAAAGAACTTAATATTGATTAACCTCTTTATTGGTTGTGGAAGTATTTTGTAAATTTTATAGTTGCCTAAATTAAGTATGTATTACGGTTATTCTTCTAGTTATATATTATGCTTTGGACCACTAAAGTGGAATTTGTTTCACTTGAATGGGTCATGTTCTTAATCAAGAAATACTGAATGTTATAACGCTAACTTTTTGTTAGTCCGCAATTTATATGTGAACTAGTGTACTTTTCTGCGCTTCGCCCACTAAAAAGAAAATCAAAATATGCTGAATATAAGTGTCTTAACATTTGTGAAAGAATTTTTTTTCTTTTCATGATTCAACCATCTTTTTAAGATTCATTTAACATCCTAAATGGCAGGAAGAATCCCATTTCGTGTCAATTCCGCATTTCATGCGATGGCAATGGGAAACAGGTTTTGGTTGTTCTTTGTTTACTTTTTTGACCATTGAAAAGAACAGCAATAAGTGGGCAGTGGGTAACCCATCCTTCCCTTTTATTTTCTCTCGATTTTCCATGCAATGACATGATCCATTTCATGTGGTGTTTCATTTCCCCCCCTACCACTCCCTTTAATTTTACCCCCATTTTATACAGTCTTCTAATGAGCAAAACAACCAAGAAAGTGCAAAAAAGAGAAGAAAATGTGATTATTTTGTATCGAACAATCTCCTCCAAAAGAAAATAAGCTTGAGCCAAAGTAGCAAATGAGTCAAAACCAATCTTCACATTGTTGTGGCAGTGTGGATGCACCATTTTTAGATATGGCCTAATGATATATAGTAGTTCAAAAATTGTCAACTAAGAAATTTGGGAAATCGATCAACTCCAAACAAGAACTTCCCAAACCCTACAAGTGGCCTGGAATTCAGGATAACGTAGTATATCACAATATTCCTTAGACCATGCCGTGTCGGTAATAATAAAATGAAAGGAGGTTTTCGGAATCTATTTGACTATTTAAAACATAGACATTTGATGCATCCGTCCATAAGTACGGCAATACAATAATACAACGTGCTAAAGGAATACAAGATAGACCTCTATTGAATGACTTTTCAGGTGTGGAATCCTTCTGTATATATGATTGTAAGAAAATTGGATTTCCTTCCCTACAGTACAGGTATATATTTCGTCATGCAAATTTGCAAGAATTTTTACACTTGTCCCTTTCTTTTTAATGAAACCAGGCATTCAAGTATAATAACTTTCCATTTATTTCTTCAATTAAACTCGCCAAATAAAACACACCCACTTTCTTTTTTATTATTCACAGGCATTTAATTGTACCTAATGAGAGGCGAAAGATTGGAATTGATTTTCTGTTGGCTCCAGAAATAGCTGCCATTACCAGCAGTATATTTTTCAAAAGACGGCACCTGCCATTTCTGTTGAAGGGTCATAGCTAATTACAAGATTCAGGAAGCAAGGTAACACTTCCAGAGAAACTAAAATTCGCTCATATGTACATTTACATTTCTGCCAAAATTGTTGACTTCAGTTGCCACAGACCATTTTACATTGTGGCAAGAGGATAGCCATATACAAGGTTCCTTTACATTGTGGCATTTTGTTAGTGAGTCCGCAAACATGCATTTTTCCATGTTTATGCTAGATTGCCAAGCAATGAACCAAGAGAGCAAGAAGACTTATTTTTTCTGGAAAGTCACCAAACAAAAGAATGCTACACAACGGCTGAGAAAGCCGACGAGGATGAGGTATAGCAAGCAAGGATACCAGTGACCAAGATCATAGTTCCTTGCCTTTAGTAAACCACATCTTGAGATCAGCCATACACCAGAGTACCTGGAAGCAGAATAAAAGAAGACTAGGAACTTTACACTTGAGTGAGTTGAAGAAACATTTTTAGTGCCAAACAGATATAATTGATTCTGAATGCCTGATGGTTAAAGACAAGCTAATTGTAAACCTAGCAGGAATTGATGATGCCGGGGCAAGATAGTTTTAAAGCATTAAAGAAATAAACCATTCCTGACATATATTACTAGATACAAAGAGAGAGATAGGATGAACCAAACCTTCTAGCTGTTGCAAGCAAAAATGCTTCTAAAGCCCACTTAGGAAAGCAAAAATTTCCTATTTCTGCCATAAGTGGGTCGCCGTCTTGGTTTGCAATGAGTGTCAAAACGACTGGTAACAACACTGACCACTGACAGACAAAATTAGTTTGTAAGTATAGAGTCACAGTAAAGAGTTCACATATTATATCACTATTAAAGTTCAAAACACCCACCAGTTGGGCTGGACCAGGTTCAAAGTAGATAGCCAAAGCATAAGCTATTCCCGTAACGCAGTATACGAGACAAAGCAAGACAAGATAATTATCCCAAATAGTGGATCTTGGATTATTGAAGAAATAGAACATTGATAGATAAACTGCAGGCTTTACAATTGTATTGAAATGGTCAAGTGTATCCTTGGCCATAAAGTAAGCCAAGCTGCTCATGCCGGATGCACTCTCTCTCCAGTAGTATACTTTTTCTAGAGCAAATGACCTCAATGCTGCAATCTTGCCAAGGAGAGCTGGAAGTCAGGAATAAACATTATGTTAATTAGACCCGAGCAATGTTTTAGCACAAATGAAAAAGGCTAATCTCAGGATTGCCAGTTAAAAACCTTTCATAAAGAATGGGGAAACATCAAGCAAAACAAACTAAGATACAATTATTTTTTAAAGTTTCATGGTTTTCTACCATGTAGACAAGACATACTTCCAGAGAAACAGATACCATGATTAATCATTAATCCAAGTTCTTAATCTTAATATCCGACTTTAAAATCATTAAAGTGTGAAGAAGATGCTATATTTGCTCACTGCTTGGAAGCTTCTGCTTTTCTTCTCTAACTTTTGCACTTCTACTATTACACTATCTCAGTTTCTGTCATATCTTACCTTTTCTGTGATTCAGGATGCTTTCTCTTTGTTAGTGATAATGATGGGAGTCATGTGACTAGTAATGAAGTTCAAATAATAGCAAAGAACTACTTTACTCAACTAGAAAAGAAGTTTCCAGCTTGATATGATAATTTACACAGTATGCTAATCTCCAAGAGCAGCATATATTTTTGCAAAAACTATTTCAAATTGTTAGAATGAAAAAAAAAATGGAGTTATTAGTGATGAGTTAGAGATAAACTGCTAAGAGAAATCATGATCTGTGTTTTGCAAATTTCTCAAGCAGAACTCAAAATTTGATGCACCGTTCTAAAACTTGTAAAGTTCCTCTTTAACATTTCCCTCTCAAAGTTTTGGAAATAAAAGCTTACCTGTCTTAAACTTCAAAGTTAAATGTCCTTTGACCAATTGTAAATGCTGAAGTAAAATGAGACAAGTGAACATATATCTGCTGTCTCAAAGTTTTAACTTACAAACTGCAATGACTGTATAAAGGTAACCCTGTGCTCCGAAGCTTTCATCACTCACTTTAGCAAGTGTTCCTAAACAGATCCCAGCAAGTAATAGTATAAGAAAATCAACCGCCTGTATCTTCGCTTCTCGTAGTCGCTGCTTGCCGAGTCTGACTAATATGCAGAATCAAATTGTTAGTAGATGCCATTCAACGAATATCACAGACAAAACTGAAATATTGATAACGCAAAAAACATGCTGTGCACATATTTTCCTCATAAACTGTGACTAAATACCTCACATGATATTCATAAAACTGCTTGTCTTAGCTACTATATAAATATATATAGCCTAATTATGGGAAAGCACATTGGACAAATTCAAAATATTCGAACACGAATTGAAGAACAAAATAAGTGACTTGCTAGCGTATCTTAACAAACAAATAAAAAGATTACTCTATAATATTAGAAATAAAGGGAGCTAGTCATACCTTCCAAGGAAATACCTATATTGGAGGAGGACACCAGGTGTTTTCCGATTTGACAAGTCCGCTGAGGCCAAAAGTTTGTGCTGTATATGGTCCTTCTTCTGTTCAACATTGGATTTGACATCCGACCACAGCTCTCCTGCAAAAGATAGATCAGGACCAGCCGCTGCAGAACTTCCTCCATGTGCTGAATTATCCCCAGCCAAAGAAGCTGCTGATCCCGAAGAAGCTAACATGTCTGGTGGTACTGGGTAACCATTATGAAGCATCCATCTAAGAGGAAGATCTTTATAGGTTACTCCTATACTTGCCGGGAGTTTATAAATTCCCTCTAAAATATCAATGAAGTGATCTGGAGGATTAACACGATCCGGGACATTGATCCCAAGTCCTGCAAAGTACTCTTCAACTTTGGATACTGGTCCATGGTATGCTGTAAGGCCACCTTTCGCTAGAAGTATCAAATCGTCAAACATCCTGAACAAAGTATAGCTGAAACAAGAGAGTTTCTGTCACTTAGTGTGAGGAGAATACAACTTTGGCTAACACGTGTATAATTAGATACAGAACAGGACAACTAATCTAATAAATCAATTAGGGAAATCAGCAATTAACAAAGAACTATCTGTTACGAAATTACTTTTGCAAACAAAAAGCAACGAAGATATTAAATATGAATGTGCAATTAAGGAATGACTTTGTGAGGAAATGTGTTATGCTCTTACTTCTTCTAGCTCTCTAGAAACAGGACTAATAAAGAAGCGTTTTAAGATGAGATCCAAAGTCAAAATGTTGTTCCACAACGTAGGAACGGAGAGCAAAATTCCTTTTGGTATGACTGCTGGAAACTATTCATGACCATGCCTCATGTTTCCAGAGTAAGTATTTCGGTTGTTATATTGGAAGATATTCCCAATATATAGTACAATTGGCATTTTGATTGGAAGACCGAAGAGATTAAAAGTATGTCTGCAAACATTACCTTGGTTGGTGAACCACCATGCATATATTCACTCCTTCAAGAGCTTCACGACGAAGTGCTCTAAGCAATAACTGAGAAGAAGAGCTATCCAGACCAGAAGTTGGTTCATCCAAAATTAACAAAGAAGGTTCTATAACCATCTCGAGCCCAACATTTACTCGCTTCCTCTGGCCCCCAGAGATGCCTCGCTTCTCCACTGTCCCCACAAGAGAATCTCTCACCTGTTGCAATCCCAGGGACTCTATGACTCTTTCAACAACTAAAACTTTTTCTGGTTTTGGCAAATCAGCAGCCAATCTGGAAGAACAATTCAACATTGACGAGCAGATGAGAATCAATTGCAAAGCTAGTAGTGGCAAACTAGAATGCGAACTGTAACAAACAGAAATAAGAAGCAAGGCTAACTTTTTTCCTGATAGGAGTAATAAAAACAGGTCCTAATTTTTGAAAACAACAAATTACTGGACTCTATAGCCTCTGAAGTAGCAGTCTCATGGTAGAAGGGAACTTACGAAGAAAAATGCACATAGTAAGAATTGAACTTTGGTAACTTGCAAACATATTTGTCAGAACATGTGGACAACAAACTCAAAACTCTAAACAAACTCACTGAGAAGTCAAAGATTGACTATTCTACTTGAAATCGAGGACAACTTTAAGTTCAGAAATTACAGCGACTTGGAAGATATTGAGTCAGCAATAACTAAACTATAGGTAGATAGTAACAAATCTATTGTAGCATACCTGCACCGAGCACTAAACCAAAGATTCTCCTCCACTGTCAAATTTCCATGCACTATATCATCTTGAGGAACGTAGCCAATAATTTTTTTGTATGACTGAATAGAGTCGGACTTCCCATTTATGAGAACAGAACCAGTTGTAGTACACCCTGCAGCTTTTCCAGTCAATGCAGAAAGAAATGTTGTCTTTCCAGCCCCAGATGGACCCATAACAGCAGAAACGCGACCAGGCGATAATCTCCCTGTTACACACCTCAATAGATGCTTGTTTTTTCCCTTCAAAGTTAGTGTCAAATCTTGGAAGTAGACTTCAATAGGAGGTCTGGGCCTTATCTCAAACTCACTTGCCATGTTGATTACTCCAGAAAAGGTCATATCTTTGTTCTGCTCCTGCAGAGCTTTTTCTTTCTCAATTTGCCCATATGCATATCTAAAAATTTGAGTCCTTGAATGCAATTGTTTACCCTTGTTCTTTTTAAAATTTTTATCCCCAGTCTCAATGTTGGAACCTTCACTATCAGGGTTCTCTGCAGATTCATTGATCATCTTCTTGAGGTTGTTTTGCTTCTTTGCTTTTGCTTGAGACATACCTGGGGGCAAGGGCAAGCCAGAATCTTTACCAGGTTTACTTTGATCACTATCCTTCTGCAGGTCCTGCCTTGTCGACTTTCTACGGGAGAATGTCTTTGACAATTGAGAACCCATGCTAGCAAGGTTAGATTTCCATTTGTTTTGTGCCTGAGCACTTTCCCTTGCACTTCTTGCACCGGCTTCTCTGGACTTGGCTTGTTTTCTTTCTCTGCTGCTTAGAACTTGGTCAGAACAGTTGTATATAATGAGAAGTATAAGCATGATTCCACCCTATTGAAAACGAAAAAACCAGTTGAGAAATTCTTGTGTAAAATCTGAATCTTAAGTATGTGCATCTTTTATGGTGAATAATGACTTGAAGAGAAACACCATATACATTAGAAATCCAATATCTCTACAGCATGAAAAGGTATACAGCATTTCTTTTTTCAGATAGAAGGAGAACCTGTAAAACAATTACTTAAAAGAGCATTTCATAGTTCCGTTAACACAAACATCCAAATTACCAGGCCCAAACAACTCTATATTCACATGGTTCAGTTGATATAGTCTGAATGTGTCAGTGTTATAATGAAATGTGTACCAATTTATGTTTTCACAGTCGATGACTAATAGATCAAAATGAAAAAACTTTCTAGAGATCAATAATCCTCTGATGAATCACCGAGCAACTAATAGGGCAAATATTGACTCTGTTAAAAGTCAAGATATTAGAATATATCTAGGTTAATAGTATAGAATATTCATTCAGATTATGTAATAGTTAGAAACCTCGGTATGACGCATAGACATGCAATGCTAACCAACTCAAGAGCTTTATTTCCATAAGCACAACAATAAAATGGATAGTCATTCACTGGATAACTTAAGAATAAGATGATGACTTACAAAAAACATTATACCATAAGCAGTGATATTTTGGTTTGCTGCCTGACGTTCACAAGTTGCAAATGTATAGCAGCCTGCATGAACATTCATCACTGTTACTCATTTGTGATCATTTGTCATGTTCAAGTCCCAAAATGTTTCACGAATTGTCAATCGAGAAGAACATGCAAAGAGTTCTTACTTAATATACATCCATTTTGTCGTCGCAAAAACATGTGCTATTGACTTGAAGTTACAAGACTACGTGATTCAAAGCAAGACAACAAGAATGTAGTCTCGCCTCACGAAAGCACAAGGAACTCAAATAAAACATCCTCTTAGGAGAAAGAATTCAAAGCCAATTGTTACAGTGTGCGAAGTAGATCAATTATTTTCACATCCTGACATGTCCTGGACCTTTCCAGCCATTATTATTATATTTTCAAATTTATTTGATCTTCAATGGTAGACAGAAGCTCAAGGAAAGACAATTATTGAGATGACAACAAGTCTAATTTGGATCTGAGTACCCAAGTATTTCTCTAACTGTATGCTACCTGGAGCTACAAGCTGCACACTCCCAAATAATATCGGTATGTTTTTGTTTCTTCCTCCTTTTTTTTCTCCCAGAAGATTTGATGAGTGGTTTTTAACCAGTACTAATGTCTAGAATTCATTTTCTGTTATTCGTATATAAAATAAGCAAAAATAACTAGAAATACTGAAATATAGCTGACTGTTATTGAAGAGATAGACTTACTTGTCTGTACTGTTGAACCAGCTCTGCAGTAATGTCTGAAAAATGCATAAAATAGCTGTAGGTTAGTAAATGGGGTTAAGCATGAGCTATGAACATGAGCAAAAAGATGCAACAGACTACATAATGTCATCTACTGGCTAAACTTGCTGGGGAGAAAAGAGAAGCATACATGAGCTACTCTTTTGGGAGAAAAATAAATACCCTTTATTGCAAGGATTCTTCTGGGTGGTAGTTGGACAGTAAAATCCTGCCGAACAAAAAAGTTCAGTAGCACTTATAAAATCAGCCCACACATCTGCTCCACCACAAGTATGATTGGTCTCTCCAGGAGGAAGTTGATATTGGTAGCTGCTTATTTTCAGGAAGGCGATATGATCAGGTCAAGAAAGTGAATGTGTGTGTGTGTGTGTGTGTGTGAAAAGAATAATAGTAATAACAACTCCAGCGGGAAATATGAAACTTACGGATCACATATACCAGTGGTCGTGTTGAGTTTTGCAAGAGGGCAATAAGCACCCATCGGACAGGCTTCAAGGGAAGAAAAGGAAGACAAACCAATAAGAGGGAAAGAACAAGATTATCAGCAAGGTATATACTAAATTTCACAGCTTCTGATTAATTGTTAGAGCAAACAAATGCAGAAATCAGTCCAAGATGCTGCCAGTTATTTTTAACTTGGAGAATCCAATACTTACGGATCATGCAGGTGAGACCATGAGGACAAAAGAAGCCTTCACAACAAGACTGACATTCTAGAGTTCTAGCTGGCATCTCCTTATCGTTTTCGAAGTCAACCTTAACATCTTTTCCAACACTACAAGCCCATCCTGGCTCACATCCAGAAATCCATGATGACAGATTACAGTTCTTGTTAGGTTTCAGGTAATTGGAACTTCTTGCTGCGCCACTTTCATCCGCCACTTCCAGTAAACTAGTCGAGTAGAACTTTATTTCTGCTGCCGTACACAACCGCTGCTGAACATCCCCTATCACGCAACCAAACACATTGTGAATATCAAGAATGAAAGGAGTTTCACATATTGATGATTAATCACAAGAAAAGTGAATCTATTATACTCAAATGTACTTGGTCAGAAACTATAATACTATATTTTAACATCATTCTGCAAGATTGTAATTGTGATCCGTATTATGAACTAGACAAGTGGATCTCAAACTAGAAAAGATGAGAATTTATCCAGCACTTGGTACCTTTTGTCGTTCTAAGACATGCTGCCAAAAAATCTGAGTTTTCGGAGAAATTGAAAGCAGCATCAAACTCTTCATCTCTGTAACATAATCAAAATTTATCAGCCGAAACCAAACTGTAACCTTCCATAGACTTGAATCATCAACGCCGAATATATATCATCACAAAAATGAAACAAATTAGAAGAAGAAAAATATTTCCATTCCCCTATATATAACACAAGATTATTGGCAGAATCTTTGAAAACTGACTTCATGATTAATGCTGATAATTTCACCAAATCGTTACTCATTGACTTATGTTGCTCCACATTTAATACTTAACAGAGAAGTAGAAGAATCTGCTCTTTCTAAAGTAGGAAACAAACAGATTTCTTAGGCAAGTGTGCTTTTACGACATACTACTACATATGCATCACAGATTCCCAGTGTTATTATTTCTTCTAGTATGATTAAGAAAGTTGGAAAAAAATGGTGTCCTATTCAACCAGAATAAATATTGAGAATTCATATAGCCAAACACAACTAATTTGGGGATTGAGCAGTTTCACGTGAATGGATACTCAGAGGTAAAAATGCCAGCCCGGTATACTAAGCTCCCGTTATGCGCGGGCCACAAGGGTCTATTGTACGCAGCCTTACCTTACATTTCTGCAAGAGGCTGTTTCTATGGCTTGAACCGGTGACCTCCTGGTCACATGGCAGGAACTTTGCCAGTGATGCCAAGGCTCCTCTTACGCCGAGGTAGAACGTGAAAAATTGAATTTGAAAAATTCAACTTATAAGACATTGGAACAATTAGAAAATTACAATGGCGTAACTTCTGTAACATAGCAAATTTAACAGAGAATTACATTTTACATGTTCCACGTTCTTATGCGCGTACAAAAACTCACGTTCATTCAATATAATAATGACTTACACATCTTCAATGCAAAAATCCAATTGGCCTTTAAGTTTTTGGGTCATAATGGCGCCCATATCCTTGACACGCGTAGCGAGAACACTCTTCAGTAGCTGAATTCCCATGGTGTTATTGGTATTTGCCTGCTGTCCAACTGCAGAATTCGCCATGGTAAGCAAAACCGCCAAAAATAAAATTACATTTTTGTGGTTCCCTTGTTTTAGTCTGCACATTTTTCATCAATATGAGACAATGATTCTATGGCGATTTTGGGAAATTTGTCTGTGATTTTTTGAAGAACCAAAAAGTGGGAAGAATGTGAGAGTTTAGTTTTGTCGGGGAAAAGAAATGGCGGGGAGGTGATGTAGGAAAGCAGAGAGACGAAACACGCTAAAGGGGAAACTGTATTAGAGTTCGAATTTTGCGGCTACCTGTCTTAAAATTGTGAACAATTCTTAAAATATAGGATCTTTTACTATTATTTGGTGGTCATTATTTTAATATTTCAATTGCTATATGAATTTTGAAAAATAGAATAGGTACTTAACATGTACTCTTTCCGTTTCAATTCATCCGAACTTATTTTTTTTAGTTCGTGCAAAAAAGAATGGCTTCTTTTTATATTTGGAAATAATTTATCTTTATGCAATGAATTATAGCCACACAAAATATATGTGCTTCATTTTACACCACAAGTTCAAAAATCTTCTCTTGTTTCTTAAACTTTGTGCTCAGTCAAATGAGTTCTCAAAAATTGAAACAGGGGGAGTATTAAGTGAATTTTATATACCCTCCTCCATTATACTGCAAGAACGAAACATTTTCTTCGGTGTTCTTATTTTGGAGTACAAGTTGATTTGTTCAGCTATCAATGTAAATTTAAAAGTTCCTTTTTTACAAAAATTTCATTTGAAGTTTTAGTTTCTCACCCTCTTTTTATTTGCTTATTCATTTACAAAAAAACAGTTTAGTGTTTTTTAAATAGTGAGTGAAGCTGAATGACCATTCATAAAATTATTTTAATATAGTAGTAATAGATTGTATACGGTCAAAATCGGGCTTGCCCAATTTTGTACAACTGACCAAAATTGAGAAGGAAGATCAAGGCTCGACCTCGGTTATGCCAGAACGAGGTACGGAGATGGATTGGTAAGCTCGTGGATGACCGATCGAGATCGAGGCCAGCCGTGATCGAGAACGAAGCGAAAAAGATATCGAGCAAGATCGAAGGAGGCCTGCTACGACAGATAACAGAAAGCCGAGATATCTGTGATGGGGCGAGGATCGTGGAGGAAATCTCGGCACGTATCGAGTCAGGATCAGATGTTTAGCTATCATGGGATTTACTTCTGTACTTAGAATTGTACCATAAATAGGATTCCTCTATTATATAAAGAGGGTCCTAATCATTTTGTAATCATCTTACATTCACGCAGAACAAAGCAATATATCAAATTTTCTCTTGCAAGCTCTATTATTCTAGTTCATACTTTTCAATAGCATACTCATTGGGTTCGAGGGCAGTCTAGCTCGAGGGCCGTAGTTGTTCATCACATTGGTTTGCTTTATTTTATTGTTAATTTCTAATATTAATTCTTTTATTTATCAGTTTGTGCCAAGTGAAATCACATATCCTTAAGAAGAGAAAGTCAGAGAAAAAGAAGTCATAGACTTCATCTGGGATCACATCATATGTCGATTCGAGATGCCCTCCGAGATCGTATGTGATAATGGAAAGCAATTCATCGGTAGCAAAGTGACTAAGTTTCTCGAGGATCACAAGATCAAAAGAATCCTATCGACGCCTTATCATCCTAGCGGGAACGGACAAGCCGAGTCGACCAATAAAACCATCATTCAGAACCTTAAGAAGAGATTGACCGATGCCAAATGAAAGTGGAGAGAGATACTGCCCGAGGTCCTATGGGCATACCGCACAACATCGAAGTCCAGCACCGGAGCAACACCGTTCTCATTAGTCTATGGCATCGAAGCTCTAATCTCGGTCGAAGTCGGAGAACCCATCATCAGATTTCAATATGCAACAGAAAAGTCAAATAACGAGGCCATGAATACGAGCTTAGAATTGTTGGACGAAAGACGCGAAGCTACCCTCGTCCGATTGGCTGCTCAAAAATAGCGGATCGAAAGGTACTACAATCGAAGAGCCAATCTTTGACATTTTAACATCTGGGACTTGGTGCTAAGAAAGGTCACCCTCAACACTCGAAATCCAAATGAAGGAAAGCTGGGTCCAAACTGGGAAGAACCGTACCAGGTTCTCGAAATTACCGGAAAAGGGTTCTACAAGCTCGGTACAATGAACGCCGATCAATTACCGAGCAATTGGAACATATCGCACCTAAAACGATACTACTGCTAAGGTACGACCTTCTCCATTTTCATTTATATTTTAAACTAACTCCTACAGGTGTTCGATCAGAAACAGCAATGGACTCCTCAACACGAAGACTTTAGGTCTGAAAGCACACATTGCACTCTTTTTCCCTTAGGCCGGTTTTGTCCCAAAAGGATTTTCCGGCGAGGTTTTTAACGAGGCAACCATTGATTGTGCTAACTTAGAACAAGTCAACAGTATCTGAGGCTTCTTTACTATCAACCTCGAATACTGGGGGACATTACCCTCGAATGTCAACTTTGTTGCGAGGAAATTACTTCATGGCATCAGGGCATCGATAGGAAAATTTGTAAGGGCCAAACGGTCGAACAAACCATGCCCCCGCATAGTTTGCTCGAGCCCTGACACAGAACATGTACGCATGTATAATCAATTATAAAGAGAAGTGTTTTTCCTTGCCAATATCTCATGTCTTAAAAAAAATTTCCTACTTTACAATTCATACTCTCAATCTATTATGTAAACAGGCTCAAGGGCCAATCATAACCAGAGTTTGGATAATTATCCCCATACTCGGGGACTGCCGTCCGAAAAATAAATGAGATCAAATTAGCAAAACTTCGTGTAGCACGCCGGAAAATTTCGAAGTACTTAAGCGTTATTAAGAAAGTTAATGTGTGCTAATTATATTATTTCGTATGCAGACGAGGACTATTAATATGATGGATATCAATTGGATATGATAATAAGTGTACGAGGTATATTATAAGTGATGTGGGGTCTAAGGATAGCCCTAAGTCCAAGTCAAGTTGGAAATTACATGATAGACTAAAGTTTCAAATAAGTACGCACATGACCTGACTTTGGATGGGCATATATAGATATATATATATAAAGATTTATGTGTATTACAATCAAATGAAAGGCCTTTGAGTCTAGTTTCTAACGCTTCAAACCATTTGTCGTTTGGACATTCCTACAAGAAATTATGACCAAATTATCAAAGGTTGGCGGAGGAGTCTGCAGATGCGAAGCATCCGGGGCCGCGTCCGAAAGAATGGCTGGCAGTGAAGTGCTGCCATAGCATCCAAGGCCGCGTCCGAAGCCCCGAAATCTGGGCCTATAAATACCAAGTCGGGGGAGAGAGTATTTTGAGTATTGGGGGTTAGGGTTCTTGAGGTAAAGGGGCGATTTTAAGCTCAAATCAAGTTCAATCAACCAAGGTAAGTTGTTAATGTTGTTTTGGGTTGACTCTTACTCAATATACACGAGTTCTAACATCATTCTTGCATCCAAATACTAGATTTCATCATCAAATCCTCAAGAACACTAAAATTACCAAAGTTGTAATTTTTCAAGATTGAGCTACTAAAGGTAATTTCAATGCTTCAAACTCGTTTATTATGAGTAGTTAGAAGTATTTGAAGCATTTGTTACAAGTTTTAATGGTTGAAAGATTGGATTATAAAACTCTTATTCATGGCATGAATAGTATTTTTGAGAAAATAAGAGAGAAGATGAATGGTAATCTTGGCGATGAAATTTATGAATACAATGAACCCATGGAATTACTTGTTAGCAAATGATGGAAGTGATCAACTAAGTAATCACCCGAATTGTATATTTTACAAGTGTTGATTATGGAAGAGGATAAATAGTAACTTGGCGGCAATGTACAATTGATGTAGTATCATTAGCGACTTCGAATGGGTATTAAAATATAAGAATGAAGTTGAATGGTCTAACTTGTAAATCTATTTGGCGATTTGAGTTGTTGGAAGCTTATATCCAACTTATGAGCCATACATGGATGTTGATCAATATCTTAGGTCAAATTTTGATATAATTAGGATATATAATTATAGATATCGACATGTTGGTGATGTTGAACATTTTAATCAACGTTGGGATGATGGAGGAGGATTGAAAGCTTGTGAATGTTAATAAAGCGAAAGCGGGGTAAGTTGATTAAAACTTACTCTTCTTCAGGGATTTTCTCTAAAAGCATGTTTCGAGTTAATACTTAAGTTGTTGCAAATGTGCTTTCGTGCTTGTGGGGACAAACAAGTACGGATGTCTCCATATACTAGAATATTATGTTGCATATGTAGTGTCATATCGTTTTATAGAATTTTATTTTAAATCGTATTGGCAAAATGACACTCAAGGTAAATGTTATAAGTTTTTATCAAAACTTACGTATGGACAAGAGTATATATATTTGAGTGCAAAAGATAAGTTTTCATGGAAAGTATTTCTTTTGGAAATTGACGAACAGAATAACACTTGTGGTTTCTTTTAAAGATTGATGTTAAATTGCTAAAGGCTTTAGTATGTAAAAGGTTATTTATTTAGTTTTTGTTCAAATGATTTAGATTTTTCTATAAATGTTATGAGTTGATAAAAATAGATCATTTGAAGCTACTATGCTATGAATCTATTTTTGAAGTATTAAATGTGTTGGGAGTTACTTGTGTTCACCGAGATTGACTTCGGATATACTGTGTTCGTTTTCATGAAACTACACGTGCCGGTGTAGGCGTAGATGGCCACTTTGTGGTATAGACTACGGCAGAGTGCTCTCCCTCGAGAGAGTAATATTTTGTGCTATTATTAGCATGGCTGAGTCGATTCGTACGGCACTATGATGAGACAACCTGAGCAAGTAGGGTATATGATACTTGCCACTAGGTACATAACCTAGTTGACCTTCTTATGTCGGTGATGGTATAGTACTCCCAATGAAAGGTAAGGATGATTTTCTTATGTTTAGACCTAAGGAGCCGAAAGTGATTTCAATGACTTAAAGCAAATGAAATTATTTTGTATGATTTTATCCAAAATCTTGGGTTGGTGTAAATATTTTAAAAGTTTATATTGTGGGTTATATTTCACTTGGCTTTTATTCAAAATGACAAGGCTCATGAATTGATAGAATTTCTTATCGTTTTATTTCAAATATTGGTGCATTATTTTTATAAAGTTTGTCCCAAGAACTTAAGTTAGAGAGAGTCTATGGCACTTATTGAGTACCGATGTGGTGTACTCAGCCCTTAGGG